GGAAGTGGAGGGGAGAGAAGAGAAGTGAAGAGGAGAGAAGGAGGAGGATCAGGAGAAGAAAAAAATCAGACGAAAAGAAAAGAAAACCGACAAGAAAAAATGAGAAAAATAACAATAATAAGAAAGAAGAGAGAAAAGAAAAGAGGAGAGAAGGAGAGTGTTCATTCTCACGAGCTGATGCAGGAAACCTCATGACTATGATAAATGAGCAAGGGAAGTATATGTGATTATGATGTCATATCCCAACGCGTGTGTATGAATAAATTAAGTGTTTCGGCCGCCCTGATACCGAGATTTTAGTCTTACCGCTGAACGTGACTTCGCAAGCGCCCCTTCAGACACCAGACTTCTTTTACGTTAGACTGTCTGTCTGGATACCTGTCTATTTTCTATCTACCTGTCTATCTATACCTGCTCATCTGTCTGTCTATCTGATTGCTTTCTATCAGTCTATCTATACCTGTCCATCTGTCTGTCTGTCTACCTAATTGCTTTCTATCTATCAGTCTATCTATACCTGTTATGACTGTCTGTCTGTCTGCCTAATTGCTTTCTATTTATCAGTCTATCTATACCTGTCCATCTGTCTGTCTGTCTGCCTAATTGCTTTCTATCTATCAGTCTATCGATACCTGTCCATCTGTCTGTCTGTCTGCCTAATTGCTTTCTATCTACCTGGCTATCTGTACCTGTCCATTTATCTATCTGTCTATCTAATTGCTTTCTTCCCATCTATCTACCTGTTTATCTGCCTAGCTACTTGTCTTCTGTCTATCAATCTACATGTCAATCTATACCTTTCTATCGGTTTTTCTATACCTGTCTATCTGTCTGACTACTATCTATTATCTGTCTACCCACCTGACCATTTATCTATCTATCTACCTAACTACCTGCCTACCTGTCTGTCTGTCTGTTTATCTATCTACCTGTCTATCTATCTATCTGCCAACTATCTATACCTGCCTATATCCATACCTGCTATATCCATTTCTAGTTATCTGTCTATACCGTTTATTTAATTTATCTAATTAACAAATCAATCAGTCAATCGGTGTTTTTCTATCAAATTTTTAATCTATCTGTAAGTTGTATCTGTCTATTCTATCTACGTGTTCAGTGATGAGAGCAGATGTATTTTTACTTATATGTTTCTCTTTTATCCACCATGTGATGGGGTGCGATTTGGCGGTTTTAAAATATCTATGTTGACGCCCGTGTCTTCGCTGGCCGGTGCTTNATGGAATAGGAAGAGATTAGATAAGGGAGAAAGGCAGAGAGAACCCCCCCCCCCTCTCAAAAAAAAGAAAGAAAAAAAAAGTAAGGCGCTTAGAGGCCGAAGAAGGCAAGACGGATTGGTGCGTGAGTGCGTGCGTGGCGTGCGTGTGGGCCGCGTGGCACATCAGCTGGGTACTAATCGCCCGACAGCCACCGTGGCCTGGCGCTATCGCTTTCCTCCGAGTGGAGCCCCTTGCTGTCTCGCCCTTTCTCTCTCTCTCTCTTTAACTGTTTCTCTCTTTCTCTTTCTCTTTTTCTTTTTTTTTTTTTTCTTTTTCTCTTTCTCTTTCGTTCTTTCTCTTTTTCTCTCCTTTCTTTTGCTTTCTCTTCTCTCTCTCTCCTCTCTCTCTCTCTCTCTCTCTCTCTCTCTCTCTCTTCTCTCTCTCTCTCTCTCTCTCTCTCTCTCTCTCTCTCTCTCTCTCTTTGACATCAAAAAAAGTGTTTTTCTCCTCCCCTTTCTCCCTGCTTCTTCTCTCCCCCCTCACCCACACCCACCCCCTGTCTCTTCACGTCCCCCTTCCACCCCCCCCTTCCCTCTACCCGTCTACCAATCTCGTTTCTTAATTACTTTCCGCTAATTATCGCTCCGGTCGTCCCTTGGCCTGTTTGCTTTTAAAAAAAAAAAAAAAAAGAAAAAAAAAGTGTCGCTCGTTGAAGAATTTTTGCAAATTTTCCAGACGATTTTCCACCCTTTTTGAAAAGCGCAATTCTTAGGGCCTATGGGGGCGCCGTTTTAAAGGTCTCCTGGAGGCGGGAGCGGGGAGATGAGGAGGAGAGATTAGGGGGTAGGTGGGGTGGGTAGGGGGTAGGGGGTACCGGGGGATGAGGTGGTAGGGGGATGGGTAGTGGGGGATGGGGGTGGGGAAGGGAGGGGAGGGAGGAAGGGGTAGGTGGAGGAGGAGGAGGAGGGAGGGGAAGGGTAGGGATAGGGGGGGTAGGGGGGTAGGGGGATGGGTGGTAGGTGGGTAGGAGGGGATGGGGCAAGAGGATAGGAGTGGAGGAATGGGGTAGGAGGAAGGGAGGGAAGGGAAGGGGATGGGGTGAGGGGGCTATGTTGGGGTTAGATAGGAGGGTCGGGAAGAATATTAGAGGTAGGAGAGTGGAGGTTAGGGAGGACGAGTGAGTGTGGTGTAGGGCAGGAGGAGCAGCAGGAGGGTGGAAAGGGAAAAGGGAGGAGGAGGAGGAGGAGGGAGGAGATGATAAAGGAGGAGAAGGAGGAGGAGAAGGGAAGGATGAAGAAAGGAAGGGAAGAGGAAGCGGAAAGGGAGGAAGGTGAGAAAGGAAGGGGAAGAGGACGGGGTAAGGGAAAGGATGAGGAAAGGAGGGAAGAGGAGGGGGAGGAAAGGAAGGAGAAAGGAAGGGAAGAGAAGGGGGTAAAGGAAGGATGCGGAAAGGGAAGGGGAAGAGGAGGGGTAAGGGAAGGATGAGGAAAGGAAGGGGAAGAGGCGGATGTAGGGGGAAGAGGATGAGGGCAAGGCGTGGTGGTGAGAGTGGTGTCGAGGGAAAGGAGGACCAGGAGGAGGGAGGGTGGAGGTGGTTAAGGAGGAGGGCGAGGGATGCGCGTGAAGCTGGCTCCCGGACAACTTTCACTCCGTCGGGGCAAGAAGGCACCTGAAGCGAGGGTCCCCCATCTCCTTTCGGGCGTCCTTGGGGGATGGGAGGGGCGGGGAGGGGTGGTGGTGGTGGGGGGGAGGGTACACTTGAAGCAGTCTCACTTGACTGTATTGAGAAGATGGGAATGGTCGTAAGTGGTTCCGCGGAGAAAGAGGTCCTGGTCGTAGTTGGTCGTTTAGCTTGTAGGCGCGACTTCTCTCTACTGCAGTGCTTGAAATAGGCCTACATAAGCCTATACGTGTTAATTACGTATCTCTACAGCAGTGCTTGAAATAGGCCTACATAAGCCTATACGTGTTAATTACGTATCTCTACAGCAGTGCTTGAAATAGGCCTACATAAAGCCTACACGTGCTCTTAATTAATGGACGTCCCTTCAGCGTGCACTGTTCTCGTATGTGACATGGCGGTTATTTTATGTCCACCACATGTTCCACCTGATTCGGACACGTGATTCGTCCTTTCAGTCCTTCCGTGTCCAGGCTGGCTATTCCCCCCCCCCCCTCCTTCTTGCCGTTTCGCCTTGTCTCCTCCATTCGCATGCGGGAGGGGGGGAGGGGGTGCTGTCCTTTCTTATTTCCCCCTTCTTGCCGTTTTCGCCTTGTCCCCCTCCATTCGCATGCAGGGGGGGGGGGTGCATCTTTCTATTTCCCCCTTCTTGCCGTTTCTTGTTCCCCTCCATTCGCATGCGGGGGGGGGGGAGGGGGGTGTGCTGTCCTTTCTTTATTCCCCCTTCTTGCCGTTTCGCCTTGTCCCCCTCCATTCGCATGCGGGGGCGGGGTGCTGTCCGTTCTTATTTCCCCCTTCCTTGCCGTTTCGTCTTGTTCCCCTCCCATCGCATTGCGGGGAGGGGGAGGGGGGTGCTGTCCTTTCTTTTCCTCCCTTGCCGTTTCGCCTTGTCTCCCTCCAATTCGCATGCATGAGGAGGGGGGGAGGGGGAGGGGGTGCTGTCCGTTCTTCCACGCTGCCCGTTCTCATGGCCGCCCGATCCCTCATGGGA